ATATATATTATGTATATATACTTATACTGTAAAGTAGTTTAATTGCATGAATGATACCTCAAAAACTAGCATAAATTTGCTTGGAAAATCGCTGGGAAAATACCATAATGTAAATTTTTTTAATTGCACGGATGATACCTTAAAAAGTGACTTAAATTTGTGCGGAAAATTGCTAGGAAAATAGGTCCGCAGAGTTGTAACTACTGCATGACACATTGGCTGACTCCATTGCAGCATTTAAGAAAGCTGTTAAAACCTATTTATTTTCAATAGACTTGCTTGTAGGTAGGCATAGATGCCAAACACCTCTATGGCACCTGTGCGGAGGATATATTCCATGTGCAAGCCTTAAGGCCTGCTTATACTTCAACGATAACGATAAATAAGCTAAAAATCAATTGTTCATATAGAAAACAAAAGAAATAAGAGAAGTTTTTACACTAGAACGATTCGATAACGATTTATTAGTTATGCGATAACAACATATTCTGACAAATCAAATCAGATGACATCATAACCATGGAAAAACATTAAAATTGTAGTATTTAACAACGATTCTATCGTTTTTCCATGATTATGACATCTGATTTGATTTGTTAAAATATTTTGTTATCGTATACACGATCGTTATCGTTGAAGTATAAACAGGCCTTTAATTTACACTCTGGTAATGTACTAAATAGTATAAGATTTTATACTTTTCTGCTTTTTAGGTGTCGTGCCAATGGGTTTGTTCACCCACATGCACCCTTCTCCGGGACAACGATCTGGAATTCGGTTGGTGAAGAAAGATGTAACATCTCCACTTGAGTTTGATTTGACAGTTTATGAAGGATTTCTGTCAAAAGAAGATTTCTATTCTGAAACAGCCAAACACATTGAACTTGCAAAAACCACTTTAGAGAGGTGGTATATGGCAAGGGATGTTGAGAGGTTAGAAATTAAAAGTGGCAACATACGAGGAACATTGTTCAAACCTAAAGGTACCTTCAGTGATGGATCCAGACTTTTTTTTGTGGGGGGTTGGGGTGAGGGTGATGCAAGTGGCAATTGAGGTCCTAAGGTTCAAAGGTGGTGGATTTTATGGTCAAGAGAAGAAAGATTTTGGGGTGATTCTTCTTGTTGTGGTAGTCCAGGATGAAAGCCTTGGAGTTTATCCTTTTTAATTTCTTATCTAGATGATGCCATGTGTATTTTTTGCTGCTGCCAGAGGCACAATCGGGATCCGCTACGGAGCTTCTATCATTATAATAATAAATCTTCAGAAAAATATGTCAACATTATTTATCAACATATTTATAATACCAGGTTAGTTATCTGGGCATGGAGGGTTCGATTCCCACCCAAATCCTTGCAAGGTTTTTTTACCTCCCAAAAGGGGGGGAGCCCCCTAAATCCGCCCCTGCTGTTGCGTAGCGACAGCCGAGTAGCGAAGCCTCGAGCGGGGATGGATGGGTGGTATTTGCTGAAGGTAGACCAGGCCCAACTACTGTAGGCTAGGCCGAGCTGAGGCCAAGCCGTTCAAGCCATCACGGTAAAAGTAACTGTTGGCCGTTCAAAAGACGGCTGGGCGGTTCGCTGGCTGAGCCCATGACTGGGATTAACAGAATAAAAACTTCACCTCATTAGCTTTCTAATTAATTGTAAAGCTGGCCCTGCCCTAAATCATCCCATTTGTAGTCATGACGATATCATTTTACACTTCAATGTTTCATTTTTAAAGACTTTTTTTTTGTTTTTAAAGTGTTATTTAATTTGTACAGGTGATGGTCAGTTTCCAGGTATTATTGATATGTTTGGATCGGCTGGTGGTATTATGGAATTTCGTGCTGCTTTGTTCTCCTCCTATGGCTTTGCTTGTCTTTCTTTAGCTTTCTTTTCCTACAAAGATTTGCCAAATGCATTGCCTTCAGTAGATATGCTTTACTTTGAGGTATTTATTTCCTTTGTTTAAGCATCATATTTCTGGAAATCTAAATATACAATGGAAACAAAATTTAATGTTTGCACTTGTTCTGTTTATGACAGTACTACTAATCTTATCCCAGGGCCCGGTGGCAGTGCAGTAGCTGGGACACTAGTGACAGGTCTCATGCCAAGGGACCCTCAGTGACAGGGCTCTGGTAGGGGTGAAAGGCCAGAGGGTACGGACTATTCTATTTATAAAATGCTCAAAAGCGGTGACATTGTTTTATCAACCTCTTTTTATCATCTTTATCCTAGTGGCCTGGGCCACACGATGGGTGCCAATCAAGTCAAATCAACATCTATTTCATATTTTTTATCAAATTTTTGTAATTTTATTTTGGTAGGAAGCAGTTGATTGGTTGATTAATGAACCATATGTGTTAGGTCATGGTATTGGGGTCATTTCTGTTTCCACTGGTGCCCAAACTGCCTTAATGATGACCGTTATTAGTGGACCAAAGGTAAATTTTTCTTTTGTTTCTTTTGATAAATAATTTCAAATATATAGTACATGTGTTGCTTATTATGTTATAAATGATGCTCATAAGATTTAATATTCATGAGAACATAACTAATATTCATGATTAAATTATTTTCAGTAATACTATTGATGTAGTTAGTGTTCTAATATTTCTTCATCAGATCAAAGCTTGTGTAATCATCAATGGGCCTCCATACCACACCTCATATGGACCATCAAGACTATACAAGGGAAAGGAAAAATCATCCATAGAGTAAGTTAACAATTTTATTTTGTATAATATTTTTAAATATTAAAAAACAAGTCTTTTCATGTCAGAATCAGTCATGGGCCAGTGGGTGTCAGAGGGTTCCCCCTCATGTGTGAACACAACATGAGGTCATTGGATTAAAAAGCTAGCAGAAATATCCAAGTGGTGTGATTTAGTAGAACCATGGAAGAATGTAGGCCCTACAACAGTCCATTGATGGATGAGAGTGAAACATAACAATTTATATAATAATTATCTAATATAAACAAAACTTTCTTTCATTAAAAGGTTGAACCTTGACAACGCCTACATGAAGGATGACATAATGTTTTTGAGAAACTGTTTTCCAAGTGAATCACCTGATCAGTATAGACATGCACTAATTAATGTAAGGATGCATGGTAATTATTGTATCTGTGGTTACAGTCAGGTTAGAGAGTCAAGCCAGGCTTGAGTTAGTCCAGTTGAGAGATTAGTAGTTTGAATCAATCTGGCTTGAAATTGCTTTCAACCCAGGCAATATAGCACCCATGTTGATCCAAGGCTGACACTGGATTGACATTTCTGGTCAAAGAGTGACCAGTCTCAAATAGCGATGCAATCTTAAGGTTTGACAATTTCTGCCGACTGAGCTAAGTCACTGGATTAGGCGAGTCAAATGGCCTAGAGGTTAGCAGGGCGCCGCAAGCTACAGCCACAAAATTGGCGCTGGTTTGAACGGCACGCTCTGTAATGTTTGATAGCAGTTATGCTGCCCTCTAGAGTTGAATAAACAAATGACCTCAGTAATGGCAATTACAGTGTAAAATGTGTTGTTATTGTTGTCACGATATATAGTTAAATATCCTGTTAGTAGGATATCGCACGCTCGCCTATGGTTCTAGTGGTAGAACAAGTCTTCTCAGATAAGGACTATAAACCATAGGCCCAGTGTATACAATAGCTTGTGTGCACTATAAAGAACCCAGTACATCCTTCGAGACGAGTAGGGGGATACCCCGGTGTACTGGAACAGACAGCCCCTCTGGTGGACGAAGAGAGTTGCTGGTACCGAGTTACCGGGTAGCACAGGCACGAAGGGACCGTTAGGGGTGAAGAAAGTCATTGATTGAGTTCCTAGTCCACATATCAAGCACCCTGAGCATCTTATGTTAGATAAATTTGGCGCTATATAAAACTACACTACACTACACTACAGTATTAAGTCAACCCAGGTCAACCTACATTTTAGTTGTGACACCCAACTCACTGGACATGAGGCTAGTCACACAAGACTTTGAGTTACGTCTGGCTTGGTCTGAACATCGAGCTATAAAATTAATTGTCAGTTAAATACAAAGCCACCCTTAGTAAGACCATCCATTTAAAAAAAAATTTTATTTGAACAATATTTAATGAGGGTAACCCTTCCAACTTCCCCAAAGGGAGGCTGATGTTCAGGGCCTTCTTTAATAAATAAAATACAGCATCATATAATAAATCACCACTTAACACAAAAATAGATTAAATATATATATAAATATATATGAATGAACAAAAATAAATAAAATGAATTTTTAAAAATAAATAAAATTAGATACCATAATGTTATTGAAAATATAATCTTTTCCTAATGTAGAAAGATGGATAAAGCTATAACAATGAAAGATTCAATTTATCAAAAATGTATATACCACTTAGTTATTATGTACAATTTATCGATTATATATTTAGAAAATAAACTCTATAATTTTCTCCATCTTTAATGTACAATTTATAGTTTCTTTAAAAGAATAAAAGGACTTGGACTTTTGAAGTAGGGGCAAGGGAGCTAAATGCTCTTTTGTAGCATTCAAGTCTTGGCTTAGGATAATCGATGTGTCAAAGAAACAAGGTTTTATAAAGTAAAAGTGAATTTTTTTTTACAGTTAGAAGACTCGGTTTCTAATTTCCTCTTTGTGGTTGGAGAAGATGATCAAAGCTGCCCTAGTCCCGAATTTGCATCCATAGCTTGTGATCACCTGTGTAACCATGGGAAAGATAATTGGACGTTGCTAAGCTACCCCAGAGCAGGACATCTCATCGAGCCGCCATACACACCATTATGCAAAACTTCCTTTCAACCAAATCTAGGTAGGAAATGTATCTAATTTTAACCACCTTATTATCAGTAAGACAGAATGTTTATACCTTGTTTTGTGAACATGCTGCCTTTTCGATTTGTGACTTTTAATAAAGATCAAATTGTATTTTTGGTCTGTTAGCACACCTCCCACCGTAAAAGAATTCAAATTTATTGCACTATTGAACTGTGGGCTGAACTGCAGGCGTACCCATCAAAAATACTGTACAGTATATTTGATGATAGCAAAAATGTTTCATCTCTTGGCGGGTTATAGAAACTTTTTCTATTGTGTTGTAAATTAATTCTGAGTAGAATCATAGCCTTTCAAATTACTGTACAGTATATTAACTGTTTTTTGCGCTATAGAAATGATATTTGTTATTATTATTATAATTTTTTTACTTAAAAAGTTTCCAGTGGAGGGTGCAAGCTTTTTTCCTGCGTGCATACCACTACATACTGCCCTCTTGTCAAATTATTACAGTTGTGTACATTAATTCATTTATTATTCATTTCCGTTAGGATATATTTCATTCTATGGAGGACATCCAGATGAACATGCTGCAGCTCAAGAAGATTCATGGAGGAACATCCTAATATTCTTCAAGAAACATCTGGATAAAAATAATATGATAGTTCAAAGGTCACCTTTTCTTGAAAAAATTAGTGTTCGAAGTAAACTATGAAGTTTAAGAGGGAAGGGGAATAATAAAATTGCCATATCCCCTTTTCTCCCCTAAAACATCTTAGAGTTGTCAAGTACACCTTGGCACTGCCACTACAGGAGAGAGAGTTAGTGAGAGAGATGTTAGAGATTGCACGTTTGGAATTTTTGCCTCCAAAATTTGGGAGGGAAGGGGAAACCATGTGTACTGTAGGTCCCCCAATTACCAATATTGATTTTACATTTTGTTCCCCACTATTCCCAGTGGCAAATCCAGGAATTCGAAAAAGAGGAGGCCTGGGAGGAATTTTCCCAGATGGGGGTCTAGACTAACCTCAGCCCACAATGATTGGGGCTAAAATTTATGATTAAGGCACCTCTAGATGGCTGGAAATGGCACTCCCAGACTTAATTTTTAATATAATATTCCGTTTTTTTTCTCTCCATTTTTTTGTTGTTTTGAAACATTTAGGGAGGGGAGCTCAGGCCGGCTGGGCTCACCCTTGAATCCGCCACTGTTTCCCATTCCACTTATTTATGGCATAGTATTCTCTTCATTTTTGTACAATATTTTTATTTTAGAAATAATGTACTTAAAATTTCAATATCAGTACTTATGTGGAAGAATGGATAAATTAGGAATGCATTTTGAAGTTATATAGGATATGTGATAATAATTTTTAAAGAAATTGAATTCTGAAAATATTTGATGTATTATTAAAATTAAGCCTTATATAATAATAAATTTGAAGAACATATTTTGTATTAATTCATTCTAGTTCTGATTGAAACATATCTATACAGTGATGGCGCCAGGACCTGCCTGACGGAGGGGCTAAAAGCCCCGACAGGGGGAGCTAGTGGAGCGAATCGAGTCTCACTTGGCTGGGGGCCAGGAGCCGCCTAGGGCCCCGGTGGGGGTCCAAGGATATTTGACGAATTATGGCAAATGTTTATTACTTATTTTGATAGGCATCGAGTTACTATAATATGACTTCATGTAGGCTATGTTTTCTAATGTCGAAATCAGCTTGCAAAACCAAAAAATTTTGAATAAAACAAGAAACAAAGCATATGCAATGTAACCATCTGATTTATTTTCAAATCCTCATTCTTGAAAGTGAAATTCTACATTTTGGAAATTTTGCATGAAATCTGTCAACCACGCGGTTGCTTCACCAATCACGATGTATTTCAAGCATCATGAGGCTATCCAAACGATCATTTGTCATAACATAACTCAAATTGTTTTTAATTAGTCTCATTGAATTATTATTAATTATATTATTATTGTTATTATTATTATTATTATTAATAACATAAATATTTAAATGAAAACAATGTGGTGGCTAAACGAACATTACGCGTAAATATTTTTTTTTATTTGTTTATTCCCCCGACAAAATTTACACGTCTTCCCCGCAATATTTTTTCTATTCTAGGAAGTAGACAAAGAATCTACAAATATCAGGAAAAATGTACGAACTCGATCGTGAAACAGAAGTTACCAATTATTTATAGATAGCCAAAAATGTTGTCGCCCATCAAGCTTCCTGAAAAAATAGATGTGTATAACCTCTCTGGGTATGCCATTGAATATAGCTGTTCAACTACATTTTGTCAATTTACATAAAATGTTTGACTTTAATTAGGTCATGAATTAACTGAATGTTGAAATATTGAATCACTATGTTTCATCCAACTTATCTTTAAAGTTTAAATTTAAACTCTTGAAAAATATGGATCATCAAACACCATCAATTACCGTACTTTCGTGAATAAGCGCCCGGGCGCTTAAAATATTTTTTTCACTTTCTAAGGGGCGCTTATTTGAACGGTGGGCTTATGAAAACAGAGTGGAAATTGAGGGGGCGCTTATGGAAATAAATGAAAAACGAGGAGTTCTTATGTAAAATTATTAAATTTAAGAGGCACTTTCAATGAAAAAAGATTATATAAGGACATTAAGAATGGTGGTTAGAAAAGACAATCGTCCAGAGAACATAGCTCATGACAAGAATGCGTGACTATTTATTACTTAACAGCAGAATAGCAGATGCAATTAGTGGTGGTGGGTAGTGGTTAGCTTGTTGGTCATCGGCCGATTGAGATTAGCAGGATGGCAGGATCATTGTATTTTTTCTTGAAAACTCAGATGAGAATGTGCTAAAGGTCGCCGCCGGGGAAAAAGAAAAAAAGGAGTAGGACTAGGCATAGACAAATATGTAAAAAGAGTAAAGTTTTAAATATACTGTCTGTCCAGACTGAGGGATTGGAGCTCTCATCTGCCCAAGAGAAATATCCTAATTTTGATATTGACCGAAGAAGAATGTGTTTCCACTCTACAGCTCAAATCATGCCAACAACCACAGTCCCAGAATTGTTTGGATTATTGATTTGCTAAAAAGAAAATTTTATGAGGGGACGGACGCTTATTCAAACAGGGCGCTTAAGGAAATTTTTACGTTAGGAGGGGTGGTTATTCAAAAAGGGTGCTTTTTCAAACGGGGTACTTATTCGCGCGAGTACGGTACTACATGTATACATTAATAAAACTCTCACAAACAGTAAAATAAGGGGTGCTGCCAGTGGGGGACATGGGGGGGGGGGGGAGTCACCCTTTTATAGAGCTTTCCCCACCCGTACTCTAAAATCGATTAAATAAGCCTTTGAAACCCTAAAATTGTCAGATTCTGCCCTATGAACCCCTCATCTGGGAAATCCTGGTGCCACCACTCAAATAATACGTAACTAAACACAACACTTAAAAAGCAATTATATATTTTTTAAAAGTTTTATTACATTTATGTGTATCTTTAGGTCTATTCATATTTATCAGACACAGCTACAGGGCAGGGCATTAGTAATAGAGCTAGGGGCCTCATTTGTTGAAGACCACGCTTACTCATAACTTTCATTAGCTGCTGCTGACCAATACAAACAATGCATACAAACATTTCTCAACCTTGATTATGATAATATATGATTAGAACAATTGGCTAAAGTTGATTCCTAAATGTGTAATCTATGAAATAGTTTACAAGGTAGTAATAGTTGTAGATACCAGATATACCAGAGTCAAGGATTGCGACATCTTGTTTGTAATTACCTGGTAATGGCCAAACGAAAGAAAATACATGTTTGTCATCCAGGCTTTATATAAGGCACATAAACCGTGGCGGATTTAGAAGGGAGCGTGAGGGATGTATTCCCCCATTTTTTTTTTTTAATATTCAGAAAATTTAAAATAAATACAACCTCAAATTAACGAAGGTGCTTGAGCTTTTAGGGAATTTACCCCTTGCATTTCCCAAGACTTTTACTACACCTGCACATTCACCCATCCCCTTCCCCTTTCTTCTTGACCCACCACAGTTAATGGCCTCGGATTAAAGGTGCATTGCATAGTAATTGGGAATAAGGGGAGAGGCTTCATGGCTTAGGATATTAAAATGTATGCTTCAGAGACCACAACACCAAACACCAAGAACTGCAATACATTTTGTTGAATCGACAAAGTAATATTTTTAGTATATATTAATGCTTGTGGTACAACACGTAGATGGTTCTGAAAAGAACTGTTATTGCCTACACAGTTTGGGTGCTCTCAAATTGTACGTATCTTTATTAAAAACATTTTTGCTTGTGTACCTGTATTGTCAACAAACACTCAATGAAATCGTTTTAAAAGAGCTTAAAATGCTCATAAGAGCGCCACGGGCCACGCCGGAGCTCCACCCCTGGACCCCGCCCCCTCCCCAGCCAACTGGTTTAGTCACTCACGCATCAAATCTCTCGGGTTGGTAACTATGTGTTTCACCAATGGAACCGTTCCACACTCATATGAATCCGATAAACTCCTAGTGGCAGGCTATGTGTTGTTGTGTGTTTAGTCCGGGATAGTTTGTTGGGTGCACCATTCCTCCATGGTGCATTATGGAACACTTTAATATCGGCTCGATGCGTTTCAGGCCGGCGGAACGTTTTCAAAGTGGGGACGGGGGCCTACTAGTAAAATAAATGTGAGTGCAAATTAGGAGGATCTGGGTTCAAATTTAGGGGGTGGGGTAAACATTTTTCCCAAAAACCCAAAAAAGTATGGGGTCTTCCCCCTGGAAAATTTTGCTTCCTAGATGGTGGGAAATGAGCTTTTCCAACTTCTGAGGTGTCTTAAATTCAAAGTTTCTATGAATCAATGAACCCAAAGAGAAAGGGGATTCGGGTTCTCCCGGGAAAATGTTAATTTCTAAATGGCGGGAAATGTGCTTTCCCGATTTCTAAGTGTCTCTTAATGACTTTAATTTTGAGTTCTTTAAAATTAGATAAGATAAGATACACTTTATTGCTCCAAGTCGGAAATTCAGTTCTCGCATTAAAATACAGTAAACAATTAAAAGAATGATCAAATATAATGAACTATAAAAATTACAATGTAAAAAAGATATCAAACAACGGCCATTAAAACATTATAAGTCACCGAAGCATTATTATTATTATCAATATTATTATTATTATTATTATTATTATTATTATTATTATTGTTGTTGTTACTATCATTTTCCATTTTCATCATCATTACTACCATAATTCATCTTTTAAAAGTTTTGTTAAAAGCTCTGACACCTTGGGGAACGAATGAGGAAGAGTAGCGGCATGTGCGCGCTGCCATCGGCCTCAGTCTACCACTCCGAGCAATCCTTGAGTCAATAATTTCAGAGTGAAGGGGATGGGTCACGTCTTCAATGATGCTCTGAAACACCTTCTCTAACCGGTAGTGGTACACTGAGTCCGCCGACAGGCAACACACACCGGTCACTCTTTCAACCTTTCGGATCAGACGATTGATTCTTTCCTTGTCACAGTTAGATATATTTCCTCCCCAACCCACAATACAATAGCTCCAGACACTTAAAATTACAGAATTATAAAAGATACCTATTTTTACTGCACACATTAAAAGATCTAAGTTTACGAAGACAATACATCCTGCTGTTAAGCTTTTTCATCATGTGATCGGTATGATCATCCCATGTGAGAGTGTTATTTAATATTACGCCTAAATATTTATATGACTTGACCTGCTCAATTTCAGTACCTTTAATAATAATTGGATCTAATAGTGGGGCTTATTTTTAAAATCGATAATCATTTCCTTAGTTTTCATTGTGTTAAGCTGTAAATAATTAGCATCACAATAGTTGACGAATCTTTCAATTTCATTATAATAGTTAGAAAATCATTATTTCTAATTAGACTAATTGTTTCTGTATCATCAGCGAACATAATAGCGGGTACACTTTCATGTGAAGACCTGTAGTCCGATGTATATAATGTATAATTAAGTGTAAGTATAATTGCATCGGATGTGCTCCTAGAAGATCTATAAGCAAATTGATAAGGATCAATGTGAGCTTGTATTAATGGAGTTAGAGACTTGAGAATAATTTTTTCACATACTTTCATAACAACAGGTGTTAATGCTACTGGTCTCAAATCATTCGTACACGTTATAGAAGGCTTTTTTGGCACCGGAATTATACATGATTTCTTCCAAATATCTGGAAATGAGCAGGATTTAAAACAAAGATTAAAAATATCAGAAAAAACACAGGATAGCTGATTAGCACAATTCTTGAGAATTCGTGGCGCAAGACGGTCTGGGCCGGTTGCTTTTGATGAGTCAAGCTTTCTAAATAAACTTTTTTCAAGAAGTTTCAAGATTGATATTATTTTCTTTATTATTCATTAAATAATCAAG